CGTGTCCGAAGGCACATCTGCGATCACACAACATCGTCAAAAGAACCCATAAACTGCTCATAAGTCTCAGAAGTAACGTGCATGAACAGAAATCAGCAAAATTACCCAAAGCCAATCTCCCACTAACCTCCCCACACTTTCCAGAACCGGTAGGCATTCTTATAAACTCCCTTCTATGCTCATGGTCCCGGATTTTTGGCACTTTTGGACTTTTGCGTAAGCAAAACTACCGATATCTTAAGAATCGCATTGCTCTACGAAGAACACATTGCCTACACCTTCAGAGCCTTCGTCAGGGTATGAAGTGGGCCTGGTTGGGGGTCAACGAGGAATCAGCGAAGATTCACGTCCATTCATTAGAGCAAACTCACAAAGCGAATAAAATCTTCATTTATTTACAAAAAAAAACATAAAAGCGACCCTGCGTCATTTCACTTTTTTGGTACAAAACTGCTAACAATAATCACATTGGGAAGAGCATGAATGAAACTGGGGGGACTTCGCGGATGATCAGTCAAAATGGAATCAGCATGATGGCAGGAGGAGAGCAGTTGGAAGCGAACATGGCCAGAGAGGATGAGTGGCTACGGAAAACACGGAAATGGCTGCCTGTTGAGCTGAGAACGAAGTGAGTGTGATTTGATGGACTGGATGGAACCGGATTAAGTGAGGCGTCGAGTAGTACACGCGATCACCATGGAGCCCTTTCCATCGTTCAACGTCGCTACGGGCACGGCGACGACGGAGAGTGGAGCAGGAGAACTGCTGCTGCTGGTCATTCGAGGTTGCTTTGTTTCACGTACACTGAATAGTAGAACACTGAAATAAAGCAAATAACGATATATCTATGAAAATGACTGTTGTAAGCTTTTGATGGATGGGAAACTTGTCATTGGGCCTTTCTAGGAACGACTAGATGTCGCTAGTACAGTGTACGTTAACAGTCTTCAACTCAGTTTCAATCTCTCGACGCTGATCTTCCGAAAATTCGGTTTTGCAACAACAGCGCACTTCTGCCTCTTACGAGCTTTTCCCTTCCCATATCTCGTCAATGAAATCATGTCGTTATGGATTTGTAAGCTTCCCCTGCGGGGAAACAATGGACAACAGGGAGAGGAGGGGGGGGGGGGGGTNGGTGTTCGTCAGCCATTGTGTACGCTTCATATTAATCGCAGCTTCCCCATTCAGGCCCATTCAGGAAGAGAGTCGAACCTGTGGGGGCACATCTTAAAAAAAGCTAGATGAACGATATTTGGAAAGTTCTAACTTTTTGAGGTCGAAAGCATATCACAGATTTGCTGGCAATCTCGCAGTTGGGATCTTTCGTTCTGAAGGTCTTTTTTGCTCGGTTTTAAGAAAGTGTGATAAATACCGTGATCAATTCATGGCCGAATATTGGCTCCCATTCTCAGCGAAGATCGTTGGCAATCATGCTGTTCTCCCACAATGCATGGATTCTCGCGAAATGTGGCAAAATACATTGAGAATTCAATGGACTTTTCGCGAGGCCTGAACATCTGGAAGGATATCCAGGAAGAAGTCGAGTTACACAACTTTCATCTGACTGTGTAACCATCAGGAAGTTCACGGACGCGGACCGCATACAGGATCGGGGGACGTGCGATCCGTGCGATTCTGGGGGCGCGCGGCGAAATTCGCGATGATTCAAACAACTCTGGCGCCTATTACTGGGGCACAAGCTTGGAGTATAGTACTTTAGTAGGGTCGGACAATCCTACTAACCTACTTTACTTCAAATTTGGGCCCCAATGGTAAACGCTGCAGTCGTCCGAATCGCACAGAATTTCGCCGCGCAATTTGCCGCGCGCACCCAGAATCGCANCCTCTTGAAGCCACCTAACTGGCAAAGGAGTCGTCAGGTAGAAAAGCCGGTATTAAGACGGNGCGAAATTCGCGATGATTCAAACAACTCTGGCGCCTATTACTGGGGCACAAGCTTGGAGTATAGTACTTTAGTAGGGTCGGACAATCCTACTAACCTACTTTACTTCAAATTTGGGCCCCAATGGTAAACGCTGCAGTCGTCCGAATCGCACAGAATTTCGCCGCGCAATTTGCCGCGCGCACCCAGAATCGCACGAATCGCAACACACCCTACAGGATCATATTCATGAGTGTTCTCGGACATGCGCACGATGGGCTCTGGAGAAACTGAACTTTTTTTTCACACTAATTTTTCTTTTCACAAGGTTGGCGAGTTAAGGACAGAACCTCGGCCCCCGACGGGACTCGAACCCCTAGCACCGTGCTCTCCCTCCTAATCTTCCCTGACGCTTAGACATTTCCTTAACGGCTAAAACAGTTGCAAACAGTTCAGGATATGGAGGAGAAACGGATGAGGGCAGCTTTGTAGACCGCCCTGCCCTCCGTTTTCGATGCTTTCACAGTGATCGACATATTTCATTGTTGTCGACGCTTTGAAAAGAAATCGCCGGGGGTGCGTCGATTCTGTTTAGTCTAGCTCGGACCCCTCATCTATCATAGGCAAAAATATAGGGTTCCGACATCTCGACTGAGATCAGGATGGATTCAATGCATTGAAAATGGCACTAGACTTATGTATGAGCACTTTCAAAGCCGGAACTTGTTGGGGAAGAATTTTCGTTAGGCCTGATGAAACGCAGTTGCTTCGTGTTGAATATTAATTTCATAAAATGGACATTGAATGGGAAACCTTCTGTCCCGATAGCCCCTTCTCGCCATGTTCCTAAGGATAAATGAATGATGGTTGCTTCTTTGATGACATTTTATTTTGGCACAATTTCCTTCCCCTCCTTTTCCTCAAATTCGGCCTCAACCTAAAAATGGATATGGATATGGATATATGGACCAAACTTCGGCCTCGGAAGGGACGCGAACCCGTATTTGTGCTATTCGGGCACCGTGTTCTATCCCTTACACTACCGGACCCCGCTTGCACTCGCGCCCAAATTCAGGGCTCTGAACGTGTCGCTCTAAGGTCGAGCACCTACCCAATGATAAGTGAAGGAGACACCACTTGCTGCACTTTGTTGCGTTTCTGCTCACCATACGTCAGCCCATCACCTCTTGAAGCCACCTAACTGGCAAAGGAGTCGTCAGGGAGAAAAGCGACGGTATTACATCTGAGCAAGATCCTCGAGAATCACTGTAAAGGTGGAATCCACTCTAGGACGCTTCATATCTCCGGGTAACAAGTAAAGCCTAAGTCCCCATGGCTTCCTTACTTGGTTTCGGCCCTCATCTCATCGTTACGATCACCAGCAGCGATGCGACATTGCGGGTGACCAAAGAAAAGGGCAGATAAACAGATGCAGATGACTTGTTGGTGATTTCCCTGTCAGCTTCCATGGTTTCAGGCAGAACTGGTGAGCTCGTTCTTCAACCTCGTGGTCTGCAACCGCTTTCCAATATTCTTACTTCGAACTCAACATAGTTGTAGAGCATGTTGCTCGCTTTCTTTTCCATTACCACTGTAGAATAACGCAATGCCGTAGGCAAAAGGGGCTTTTTACAGGGTGGAGAGATTACCTGATAGAAACAGGTTTGATATACAGTCAATGCTATTTAAACGCGGGACCCTTCAGTTTTCTTTTTGCTTTCTTGGGCGTTTTTTCACCGAGATTAAAGGCACAGTTTACGATAAAAATGATTTCTGAGATTCCCCACAGGCCCCCACGAATTTGANTGGCCCACCCTGTACAGTCAATGCTATTTAAACGCGGGACCCTTCAGTTTTCTTTTTGCTTTCTTGGGCGTTTTTTCACCGAGATTAAAGGCACAGTTTACGATAAAAATGATTTCTGAGATTCCCCCACAGGATGAATTTGAGTCCCCCGCATATACCATATCTGGCACTATTAGGTAGGAAAACGGCCTAGTTAGGGAGCTAAAAGCTCGAAGATTGGCCCGTGTGTATCCTCGGGAGAGTTTCAGCGGCACCGATCACAAAGGAACCCATGTAGGAATTACAAACAACTTGTCATGACCCATAGCGTCAGTAAAAAACAGTTCTGTACTATCTTGGCCTGATTTAGTCAGCTCTTGGTGCAATTGCAATAACTGAAATCTCGTCCGAATACCCCTTCCATGTTATTTCCGTCATGCCAATCTCGTCCATTCTCTATTTTCCCTACTTTTAAGAAGCCATGTTTTTCTCGAGAACGGTGAGTTCTCTCGCTTTCTTCACTACCGATGAACTATTCCCAATCTATACTTCCGCTTTTCGAATGAAAACGGGTACCTCAAAATTATCTTGAACTAAGCCATTAAGCCTAATTTCAAAGCAAGCTATCTCTTTGGTAGAAAATACGACAAGCTACTCACCTAGAAATGCTGTAAAGAGCGAGGGAAAAGTGATACGTGACATTAGGTCCACTCTACGTGAGAGATCCGCATTTCGACCCAACATATCCAATAACCTGAAAGTCTGCAAATGGGAAGGTGAAAATGGTTTTTGAAAAATAAAGGTCCCTTAAAAGATTGGTGTGGAAGAAATGAGAAAACCCATTTCCAAAGCAACCAATGTCCCGAAAGAAAAGCCTTTAGGCCCCTTAATGCCTCACCTATTCAGCGGAGTCCAACCTCGACGACGATAATTGCTCAAGTCAAGCCGCAGAGCAGGACGTTCAGACGGGCAGACGCAGTCGTCCAGACGGGTTTTCTTCTTTTTCTCCTAAATAATTGAAAGTTTCGAAGTTTCTCAAGTAATACTACACAGAGTAAGGAATGCAAATAACGAACCTTTCGAAGGAATTCTTTCCGACCGTAATAATTCACGACGGCATATTCAAGTAGAGCTCCAAAAATAAACGCCAAACATACGCCGATCCATACGTCCACAGCCTGAACTTAAAACGAACTTGCTCTGGTCACTCACTGTCCAGACTACTGCAAAGGACTAATCTTTTGGCAGGACCCTATGGATGCCTGAGCACGAATTTCTCAAGAATAATGAAAACACTGAGCGGTGTAAGGGAAAGTCAAGGACCATAGTAGTAGTCGGGGCGATAGGAATTTTCTAGTGTTAAACGGTACCCGATGTATTCTCCATCTAGGACAGCCTACTACCGTAAAACTAGGAGCGCCCGCTATCGTCTGCCTGGTCCCAGACGAAGCCTTGAAGAGAATCTGATCCACATTACCCTTTCCCTTCAGTTGTTCACCTGTATAGATGAGATGGACCACGAAACAATTAACAATCAACAAACAAACAATCAATAAACATCAGGTGCTCATCCAGCGTGTGCAAAAGACCCGTCCCTAAACGAAATGAGCCCCATGTTCGTCTTATTCAAAGGCACTGTTCACGATAAAAATGCTTTCTGAGATTCCACCACAGGATGAATTTCAGGCCCCCGTGTATACCATATCTGGCACTATTAGGTNTTTCTCAAGTAGTACTACACAGAGTAAGGAATGCAAATGACCAACCTTTCGAAGGAATTCTTTCCGACCGTAATAATTCA